GGGAACGTTGAGAAAACACATGGTATCCGTACCCCCCCCAACCCGAAATTCGGGTCAAATTCGGGTCTTCGGGTTGGGTTGGGGTGGTCTGGTAGGTAGTCAGTCGGTGTTCAGCGGTGGGGACTCCAGCGGCAAAAGCCGAATCAATTTTACGCTCCCATCCTTTTCGGTTCTGGGCCCGACGAAACCAATCCATCTCGTGAGTTTCGATCCCACGTAGACCCCGTCGTAAGAATGCCGACTGGGCGTGGGGGCTGCTCTGGTCCTGCCCACCGCGTCGGGCGTCGAGCCACCCGAAAAGGACCTGCTCAGGGACTCTCCAAACGTCAGAGCGTGAATAACCTCCCCCGCTTTCGCTTCCAGGCAAAACCAAGCCATACCACGCGCCTCCTCGTCAAGCGGCCTGACCAGTACAGGCCGCAATTTGGCATCGTTTGGTATCTCTTGGAAGCGAGGGTGGTCAAAAGCGAGGGAGGTTTGTTTTCCCCCTAAAACGGGCATGCGGGCCACGTGCCCTAGCCATTGTAGGGAAAGGCGAGTAATGGTGTCCTCTATTGTGCGCCATTGTGCGGCTTTGTTCATGGCAGCATCCGCGACGTGATGCTCCCTCATGAACATTATGTCCATACCGAACGAGCGGCGCACACCGTAATTCACCACCCTCTGGAGACGTGCGAAATCCTGCCGGGTCCATGTTCGACACCCCGCAGTAATCGCCGCCACCATGCACGTCTGCATCACGTGCAATCGGGTCGTGATGGACACCCCACTTCCGCGGCCCCGGCCGTGGGACGAGCCGATAGCCCACGCTTTGGCTATAGACCGCGCTAATATGTTCCCGACCTGCACGCGCTTCGTGGTGTCGGCTGCCCAGCGGCCTGTATCGTGATGTATGCCGCCCAAATGTCGCAGCGATGCTACCTCATGTTGTCTGCGCACATCCATAGGCGCCCTCCAGTTTCCACTCACCAGGAGCCTTTCCTTCTTACCTATGTTACTTCTCTCCTCCCAATCTGTCATGGTCCTCTCCAGCAGAGGTTCTGCAACTTGCATCTCATCCACAAAGCCCGCCAGGGCTGCGTCATCCGCAAACCCGATGTCCCCTATGACCGTATGCCTCTGGCGAGCGGCCCAACCGCCCTCCCCTCGACCCTGGCCCCGGGTCCGGGCACTGTTCCCGAGACGCCCATCTATGAGGTAGGTCCACGGTAGGCCCGGCGTCCTCCCCGCCGTCTCGGCACTCCGTTTTCTGCGGCCCTGGTAATCCTTAAGAACGGCATCGTGGTATATGTTGAACAGGGGAGGGCTCGAGGGGCACCCCTCCCTCAGACCCCGCAAGGGGAACCAAGTGGAGGAAAGGCCCCCAAGAACCCGCACTCGGTAGCCCGTCTGCTCGTGGAGGGCCTTACACACTTTCAGAAAGCCAGGGGGGCAACCGCGTCGGCCCAACAATCGCCATAATGCTGGCCTGCATACCCGGGGGTATGCCTTCTCGATATCAAAAAACGTGAAAACGACGATGTCACCATTTCGAAGTGCCGCCGCTTCCTCAATCAGCCGGCGCGTGACTTGTAGTGCATCGTCGGTCCCCCTTCCCCGGCGAAAGCCCGACTGTTCCTCGCCCAGGAATCCCTCCGACCACTGGGAGAGACGAGAGGCCACGATCCGAGCCAGCAGTTTCGAGCCCACAGACAATAATGTGATTCCGCGCCAAGTATTATTGTCCTTGCGATTACCTTTATTCTTCCACAGGGGAACGACGAGGCCCATTTGCCATTCCTGTGGCCAGGTCGTGCCCTCCTCCCCCTCGTCGTCCTGTGTGGCCCGAGTCCACATGGTACGCACGATGTCAAAAACCTTCCCACGAATTTCCGCACCCCCATACTTCAGGGCTTCAGCAACAAAACCATCTTCGCCCGGCTGGCGACCAGTCTGCATTTTTCGCACACAAGCTTCCAATTCCACATCCGTGGGCGGGGCGTCTAGCCATGCCGCCGAAACGGGGACCTCTGGGACACTCCGCCACACATGCTCGGGCACCACGCCCGCATCACCAGAAATGGTCGCAAAGTGCTCCTTCCATAGCTCCCGCTCTTGTTCCGCGCGCTCCGCTGTCCAGCGGCCAGAATCGCCCCGATCCCCTCGCCGGAGTCGGAGGTCCCGGAAGAGTCGGAACAATTCCCCTTGGTCTCCACTATGCGCGGCCATGCTGGCACGTTCTCCGACGCCCTGCCAGTAGCTCCGCTCCCATTGTCGGAGCCGCCTCCGGCGAGTACGGATTGCCGAGCGCCTAGCATCGAGCGCCGCAGCCCGTTCCTCCACCGGCGCCGCACGCAACGCATCGGTCGCCTCAGAAACGGCGGCGTCCAGGGCTCGTTTGTCTGCCTCGTGGCCTTGTAACCAGGGGATCTGATGTCGCCTCTCCCTCGGCCCCAATACCTCGAGACCGGCCTCTCGCGCAACCGCGCACAGTTGCTTCCAGTCAGCCTCCGTTTCCAAGGCTCGGAGCTTTTCAGTGATCCGCTGCCCATATTGCTCCCGTTTCTGTTTCGCCACCTCCGAAGGCCCCAGAAGCCCCCCATAGTTAGGGGTAGGGGGCCTGTTGCTGATGAGCCGACCCGGAGGCGGCCAGGGACCTTCCAAGCGAAGCCCCACCTCCATAGGATGATGGTCGGTATATGACGCCCACGCTATTACCCCATCCTCACGCACCGTTGGTTCCGTAGCTTGTCGACAACGTCGACGGCGTCGTCGCGAGGGTCTCTGGGGCAGTGCCCCCGCTCCCTCTGGACCAAAATGTAGCGTCCGACAATCTACAAAATGGCGTCTGTCGCGGGGTCGGACCAAAATGTGGTCCAGCTGGTGCCCGGTGTGGTACCGAAGATGCCACCAGGTGGCAGGCTCTCTCTGCTGGTAAGCCGTGCTCAGCATAAACCATGGCACCGATGAGCAGAACGAGAGTAAGTCGGCTCCAGTCGCGCTACGGCGGGCCGAGCCAAAGTTCCCGATCACTTGAGCCAACCCTTCCTCCTCCTCCCCACCTCCCAGGCGACCCACTTCAGCGTTGAAGTCGCCTCCCACGATGAGCAGGTTGTCGTGTCCTCTCACTAAGGATTCGACGTGCCGTAACTCTGCGTTGAACGCATCTCTAGCGTCCTCATTAGCAGTGCCCGACACGGGGGCGTAGCACGAGACAAAGGACATCCCACGTCGACGGCCCATCCGAGGTAACACAACTCCCATGACCCTAATCCCCTTCCTGTCCCACTTCCCCCTGACTACAACCCTCGATCCACCAGTTCGCCACGATGCAGTGAGACGTTGATTGAGGACCACACAGACTCTGCCACGAATGATGAAGGTCCACACCTCCGTTCCTACGTCATACTCCCGGACCCCGTTTTGATGAAAATTGACATCTGAAAACATAGCAAACTCCCACCGCCTAACTGCCATCAGGGTTAAAACAAACATCGATTTTTAGTTGGGATGGCTCATAACCACGACTCGATCCCAGTTTGCGAGTGTCCCAGGTTCCACCCCGAAGGAAAATCTCCTCCGAGCCTCTCTTCTTTTTGGCACCGCGTAACAGAGACAAACGATAAAAAGCACGACAACGTTTCGCTCGAGACTTCCTCGCTTTGCTTATCGTCTTCCATTTCCGAATTCTCTGCTTCCGTTCAAGGCGCCTGGTCTGCCGTGCCGTGTTCTGAGGGCCCTGTGAGACCACCAACCGACGACGCGTGTCACAAGGCGCTCGTTGCGACTCGCCGGGGCCAGAGGCGAAGCCGCCTACCCTCTCAGGACGCGAGGCAAGGGAAAGGCCCGGAGGCCCAACCGCCCTCGCCGTCGTATCGCCCTGGAGGGGTTGTGCACTCCCGCCCCCAATCTGAACCAAGGACCCGGGAGAAGACCCGTGAGACGCCAACACCGACGCACCACCCCCAGCACCCACCGGTTTTTCTCCCCCAGCGACACGAGAGGGGGCACCCCTATAGGGGTTGGGGTTAGCCACGTACATAGCACCACAAGTACATACAGATAACAAGCAAATGATGCTAGAAACGGCGAGGGATAACCGACTCCGACTTCCTACACTCCTGATCCCTCCCTTACCCCCATCCCTGGTGGACGCGTTGCCCGAGGAGCGGCCACGAGGAGGCCCGTGCACCTGCGCTTCGCCTTGTGCAGTTCCGCGACCATCTCGTGCAGCCGCGCAACCACTTGCTCCTCAGACTCACCAGCGTCGGGACCCACCTTCTTGAACTCCTCGCACATCCTGCGAACGTCATCCACGCACAGGTGGGCAGCCGAGCCACGCTTGACCGCATCGCTCTTCTCCTCAAGGTCAACGTCCACTTCACCTGCACCAGCTGGCTTGCCGATGACCTACCCCCGTGGGACGGTCGCGAAGGTGACGTGCTTGGCCAGTATCTACTGTACGCCGCCGAATCGATGGTCGGACGTGAATTGCTGGTAGAAGACCTTGACCTCGGGGGCGTCCTCGAGCTCGGGCATGTTGACCTGCAGGAAGGTGAGCGAGACCACAGGCGCCGCCACCTTAGCAGCCGCAACGTGTGCCTCACCCCGCTGCTCCTGCAGCGCCTCCGCGCAGGTGCGGACCTCCGTGGTGAGCATGACGATCTCGGCTTCCCTCTGGACGATGGCCGCCTCCTTGGTGTCGAGCTCATCCTGCAGCGCCTTGATCCTCTCACGCTTGTTGGCGGCGTCCTCGCCATAGCGGTACCGTCGCGCAGCCCCAAGGCATTGCAGGGGCTGCAGGAAATTCTCCGTTCCAGGGAGGTGCGCGTTCCTGGAGTTGCGCAGGGCTGAAAGCTGTCCTCGGATTAGCGCTCTCCATTGGTTCCGAGGAACAGGGTGTCTTGAGCCATAATGGCTACGGAAGGAGGAGAGGGAGGAGGAAGGCGAGGGGAACGAGGGGAGGGGGGCGAGGGCGGGGAGAGGAGGATGAGGCGGTGTAGGCGGCCTGAGCGGGCGAGGATCGTGGACTTCTTCGCCGACAGGGCCAGCAAGAGCACGCAGAAGGGCCTTCGGCAGCTCCTCAGCACCTTCGGCATTGTCATGGGGCGACTGGGGAAGGAGGGGGGCCCAGGGCTCGTTTCGATTCCTCCGATTCGATTCGATTCGACTTCGATGGCTTCCGATTCCGATTCGATTCGACTTGGGATTCCGATTTGGGTTCCGATTTCTTATTGGAGGCATACTAGCCTGCCAATTTCAGCCGAATCGACTTTTCCCGATTCGGCTGCCGATTTCCGCCGATCCGATTCATTTCGACTGCCGATCCGACTTGTCGATCCGATTCTGGGCTCTCCTGGGGCCTCGCTCCCCCCTCCCATGCCTCTCTCTAGGTCTCCTAGACGGTGTCAGAGTCGGCGTGGTCGGAGGATCGCGCCGCATCGCCGATGCATCGCCGTGTAACCCGATCTTCTCCACGCCGACGTCGCCGACGCGTCGCCGACGTCGCCCGCGGTATGGCCAGTGCATCGCCGATGCATCAACGGTGCATTGGCGATGCGGCGCGATCCTTCGACCTCATCTGCTCGGACCCCACCCAGGAGGCCTGCATTCTCCCTCGCGTCTCCCTGTCTTCCCACCCTTAGGCTAGCAGGGCAACACGCCTCCCTCGTGCGGCCACAGTTGAAAGGCCTGCAGAGAACGCTACCCTTGTGCTTCCCAGCTCCCTCAAGTCGGGAGTTCCTTCTCCTCCTCCTCCTCCTCCTCCTCCTCCTCCTCCCTCTCCTCCTCCTCCCCCTCTGCTGGAACTGGGCACCTTATTTCAAAACGTTTCCGGGAGGTCCTGATTTAAGAGGTCGATCGATTTGGGGTTATGGCTACGCTCGCTTGTGCTTCCCTGGAGCCACAATCCGCCAGGCATGGCGTACGGCCTCGGTCCAGTCACAGAGGTGTCGTTTTCTTCCTCGGAGCCATGTGTCCTCAGGTGCTCCTGCCCCTGTCGGGATGGAGGCTCAAAGCTTCAGGCTCCAGTTCTTAGCAGTTGATTCCTTTCGCCGGCCGCGAGATGACGTCGCAGGCCCAGGGCGCGGCGGGGGGCGGGAGTGGGCGGGTGAGGGGAGAGGCGGGAGAGAGGGGAGGGCCGTCCACGACGACTGAGGGCAAACACTGGCCTGGGTGAAGGGGTCTAGGTCCAGGACTGGACCTAAGCGGTGTTTTTGGCGATTTCGTGGGCCGTTTTCGTTTCGACTTCGTTCTGCGGTGACGGCGGGTTCGAGACAAAAAAGCGAGGGGAAACGGAAACATAACGAAAACGAAAAACACCGTTTAGGTTCAGCCCTATCTAAGTCTAGAGATCCAGCAGAGACATCCTGAGACAGCACCCAACGTCGAGAGTGTGGGATTTCGCTGCAAGGGAAACGACAGGACGACAGCTTTCGAGCGGCTGGTGCTGAATGATATCCACCCCAAGCCTGAAAATCAGCGCGCGAGGTGCAGCTGGGGGGGAAGCCCAGAGTACCCACATCGCAGCTCCTCAGCGGCCGCAGAGAGTCACCGCGCACAGCGCGAGACGGAGAGCCGCGGGGAAAACCCTGACGAGACGCACCCTCGGAGGTTTCCGCTCGCTCCTCGCCCCGTTGGTACGCGGCGCCACTCTGCAGAAGTGTGTCCCGGCCTCCCGAGAAGGAGGCCTCCCTGGGCCCAATCCTGAGACACCTTGAGCATGGGATCGGTCGATGCGGTTCGTGCGCAGTTCAGCGCAGAAGCAGGAGGATGAGGAAAACGGAGAGGAGGAGAAGCAGGGGGAGAAGAAAAACAAGAGGAGGAACAGGAGGAGAAGAATGAGGGGAAGGAGCAGGAGCAGGAGGAGGAGGAAGAGGAGAGAGATGATTAGGATGCTGATGATGATGATGCTGCTGATGAGAAGTATGATGATGCTGATGATGATGATGCTGATGCTGATGATGACGATGACGATGACGACGATGACGACGATGATGATGATGATGATGATGATGATGATGATGATGATGATGGTGATGGTGATGGTGATGGTGATGGTGATGGTGATGATGATGGTGATGGTGAAGGTGACGGTGATGGTCATGGTGATGGTGGAGGTGATGATGATGGTGATGGTGGAGGTGATGATGATGCTGCTGACTATGCTACTGATGTTGAGGATGGGGATGATACTATGGATGTGGAGGATAATAGTGATAATGATGATTATAATGATAATTTGGCTGAGGAGGAGGAGGAGGAGAAGGAGTAGGAGTAGGAGGAGGAGTAGGAGGAGGAGGAGGAGGAGAGAGAGATGCGGAGGAGGAGGAGGTGGAGGAGGAGGAGGAGAAGGATGATGATGATAATGATGACGATGAGGAGAAGGAGGAGGGGGAGGAGGAGGAAGGAGGAGGAGGGGAGGAGGAGGGGAAGGATGCTGATGATGATGATGTCGATGGTGATGCTTCTGATTGTGCTTGTGATGGTGATGATGGTGATGATGTTGATGCAGTTGATGTTGTTGTTGATGCAGATGATGACGTTGATGATGCTTGTGCTGATGATCACGTGATGATGGTGTTGTTGATGATGACGATGACTATGGTGATAATGATTATGCTGCTGATGATGATGATGCTGATGCTGAAGATGATGATACTGGTGACGTTGATGATGAGGTAGGTGTTGATGAGCATGATGATGATTATGCTGGGTATGATGATGCTGTTTGTGGTGATGGTGATTATGATGATAATGATGATGACGATGATGATGACGACGATGATGATGTTGATGATGATGATGATGATGATGATGATGACGATGATCATGATGATGGTGATGGTGATGGTGATGATACTGATGCTGATGATGCTGATGATGATGCTGATGATGATGATGCTGACGATGATGATGATGAGGAGGAGGAGGAAAAGGAGGAGGAGGAGGAGGACAGGGATGAGGAGGAGGTGCATGAGGAGGAGGAGAAGGAAAAGGAGGAGGAGGACGAGGAGGAGGAGCGGACTTCCTCTGCAAGGAGTCGGGCCCCTGCCGCGCTGCCCTTCGATCGATCGATCGATCCCAGTCGATGCTCGAAATTCGAGTGCCGCCTGCGAGCTTCGTTCCCGTTGGCCGAAACGTCAGAAACGTCAGGAGGAGAGCGCAGCTCGTGCATCTGATGCAAGACGTTAATGCGCAGCTATTGGACTTTTTCCCGAGCTATGTGCGAGGAGGAGCGGAATTGGCTCGCCCTTTGCCAGAGCCGCCAGAGCGCAGCACGTGCAGCAGATGCAAGACGTTGATGCGTAATTACTGGACTTCTTTCGGAGCTCCTATGTGCGAGGAGGAGCGGAGTTGGTAAGGCAAGAGCGAGAAGCCCTTTGAACCAGATGTTCCCGCTCCGTCCCTCGCCTGCTCGCCCCCCCTTCATCCCAGACGGAAGAAGAGAGGAGGGAGACAGGCTTCCTTGCTTCCAGCGGCGTCTAGTAGATTGAGCCTTCGGGGGCTCAGTAGCGACCCTGAGATCTGGCGCTGCGAAAGACTTGCAAGCTCGGGAACATCAGCACGACCGGAGCACGAGACCCCACTTTTTCTGCTTCGCTTCTCAAGCTGGGTCGATCTGCGATGGTCTCGATGCCCGATACGGGGCGACCACTCCCAGAACAAAAAAGAACACCCGCGGTTCCCAGGGATGTCCTCTTGCTCGGGCGGCGGTGTCGGCGACGCAGACCAAAAGGGTGATGGCGGCGGCTGGGCGGGCCGGGGCCAGGCTGACCTGGGAGGCGTGCTTCACCGAGGCAGGGCCCAAGCTGCACGATCGCCCGCGCGCGGGGGCCGCCGTGTCGAGCGAGGGTCGAATGTGGGTGGGGGGGCGTTGGTCGGTGTGTAATGGATTGGACGGGGGGCGGTCCGAGCACTTGCTCCCTAGGCGATGCTTAAGAAAACCCAAGTTTTCGGCCAGAGTCTCGATTATTCTTAATGTTTCAATGTAACCCCTGAGATTTTAATAGAAATGTTGGGTTTGTATTTAAGTTCTGAGACTATGAATTTCTTAACCCATGATTTCTTAAGCATTTCGCAGGGTGTAATGGATTGGACCGGGGGCGGTCCGAACACTTACTCCCACATGGATTGGAGGGGCGGGCGTGTGTTGGTGTAGGCCTCCCAGACGGGGTCGGGGTCAAATGGGTTTGCAAGATCACGCCGCATCGCCGACGCACTGTCGATGCATCGGCGAGGTTTGCGATGCATTGGCGACGTCGGTGTGGAGAAAGTCGGGCTCCACATCGCGCTGCATCGCCGATGCATCGGCGATGCGGCGCGATCTTCCGATTTCATCGATTCGGACCCATCTGGAAATCCTCTGCAGGCACGAAGATAGTTTTCGTAACAACGCCACACCAAAACCCCAATAACACCCGAGCAACCAAAAGGGGGTTCTGCGCCCAACCCCGTCCGCATCAGCAGGTGCGCGGTCAAAACGCCCCTCCATGAAATTCTCAGAGGGTTTTCGTCTGCGGGGGGTGGCCCCGGGGTGATCCACTCGTTCATTGAGAATTGTATAGAGCATGGCTTGGGCGATTCTGCCGGTTTGGCCGCGCGCCCCGCCTGAGACATCTTTTGAATGTGTTTGGTTTGGCCCCTGGTTTGGCTTGGTTTGGGCCCAGTTTTGCCTGAACGTTCTCATAATTTGGTTTGGTTTAGTTTGGCCTTGTTTGCAACCGTTGTCGCTTGGGACGTGCTGAACATGTGTTTCGCTTCGCTTTGCTTTGGGCATTGTTTCGCATGATACTTCCTCACCAGTTGCTTGTTTAGGCCCGCTCCAAGAAGCCTTCACGAGGCTTGCGGAATTAACAATAATTGAATGGTTGCACAGCGATGTGCCACGTTTTCTTAGATATTGAACGGTGGTTAAACACTCGGCGTGGTGGGCGTGTACAAAACGAAATGATTGCACGGTGTTATGAGCCCCCTTTTGTAGTCCGCGTGCAACACGACTGCGCTACAAGATGGTGGGCGGCATGGGCGTGGACATTCCCATCACACTCTGGATCGGCATGGGCGTGCGCGGCGGCGTTCGGATGAAACTTTGTCCAAGGCTGTCGTTGGACAGTGAACAGTTAGGTGGTGTCCCAACCGCTCCTTGGCCGCGTAGAATCGCACTTTTCCCTCCCAGAACTTGCTTTCCTACTTCGTCCCTCTGGCCCTGGCCCTATCCGTGGAGAGCAAAGGGGAAGAGGGGTCCAGGAGGAAGGCACGAATAAGTGCGACCCAGACCCCTTGTCGCATCACGAATATAATCACGACGCAGCGGTTTTGTTATTGCTGTTTTCGGCCTCAGGGGGCCTTCGCTGGGCTCCGACACCGTCCGTCAACGATTGGGGGTGAAAAGCCGGTCCTTGGAAACGGGTCGAGTCTTCCGAAGTTCCGCGTTGGGGGAAATCACGAAGTCGGGAATTTGTTGAGGAGGCGGAGGAGGAAGAGGAGGGCACGAAGACAAGGCGAGGACGGCGAGGAGGAGGGCACGAATACAAAAGGGATGTGGACCAAGAGGAGGAGGAGGACGACGACGAGGAGGAGGACGTGGACGATGAGGAGGAGAAGAGGTTGGACAAATGAGAACGCAACAAGCCTTGCCTGAATGTCCAGCCCGTTCCCCACATCAGAAAATGGTTGGACGAGCAGAGAGGTGATCCCGCATGCGGGATAGCCGTAAAGAGATAAAGGGAGGATCCCAGGCATCCGGCGCTTCGACAGGACCGAAGCGGTAGGTTTGTCGTTATTTTTCTCGGGGGCGACGAGGGCACGGGGCAGACCATAATAAACCCAAGGTGCATAGCCGATGCTGGTGTGCACATTCCCGTCCCAACTCCCCTCCTCATGCGCCTCTACAGGTCGGCCCCTTGATTACAAGAAGCGCCCGTCCCTGCAAGACCAGCGTCGTCGGGCTTGTTATCCTGGCGAGGGCTCCGCCCTGATGCACTGGAGGCCCATGCCAAGAAACATCCTCGCCTCCAGGCTGCCCTGGGTTTCTTGAGCTTTTCGATGGCTTTTTGCAATGGGGAGCGTGCCGTTCCCACGCCAAAAATCACTGGACGTCCTGGGTGTTTTTTGTGGGAAGGTTCTTGTGAACCAACCTCCACTGTACTAGAAGCCTTGCTCTCTCTCTCTCTCTCTCTGTTCGGTTCGTTATTCGGGTGCGTTTACTAAACGGCTTGGCGTGTCGGGGTGAGTACTATGGGGGCGAGTTCTCTGCCCTCTGTGAAAGACCAGCGTCGTCGGGCTTGCCATTCTGGCGAAGGCTCCGCCCTGATGTCGTTTTTTTTTCGGGGGGGATGGGGGAGGAGGAGGAGGAGGAGGAGGAGGAGGAGGAGGAGGAGGAGGAGAGGAGGGAGGCGGAGGAGGAGGAGGAGGAGAGGAGGAGGAGGAGGGATGGGAAGAGGAGGAGAGGAGGAGGAGGAGGGGAGAGAGGCTCCAGAGGCCGGCTGCGGGCCTCGGGGGGGCGCCGGAAGGTGCATTTATTTATGTGCCCCAGGGCCCCTTCCTTCTCAGCAGCACCCCTGCTTCTTAGGAGGCGCGGGCCTCGTCCGCGGATGCGGCGCACGCGCCCTCCAAGAGGCAGCCTCCGTCCAAGACGAGCCTTCCCCCCGCCCCGTGCCCCCCCTGCGCGCGCGCCGCCAGAGGATGCCCCCCAGGCCCTGGCATCGCTCGGACGTGTGCATTTTTTTCCTTCGGCGAGGGCCATCGGGGAGCATCCTCGATCCACGGGCGAAAGAGCCGCGCACGAAGCCGGGAAACGCACAGGGAAGGGACGTCCGAGCGATGGCCAGCCCAGGGTTTCGCTCGGGAGGCCCCCCGCGGCCTCCCGAGCGCCCCTCGCGAGGCCCAGTGGGCCCGCGGGCGCGCGGCTTGCCGCGTGTGTGCTCGCGCCTGGCCTCCCGGGGGGCCGGGCGGGGGGGGGGGGCCTCCCGTGGCCGCGGCGGGCTCCCCGCCAGACCTTTTGTGCATCGGAGCGCGCCCCAGCAGCGGTCCAGGGATCGGGGGCATCGATCGGGGGGGGGGGGGACGGGCAGAGGGGGTCGGGGGAGGGGGCAGGGCCTCTCAGAAGCACCCCTGCGTCTTGGAAGGCGCGGGCCCTGTCTGCAGACGTAAGGCCAGCGCCTTCTGAGAAGCAGCCTCCTTCTACGAAGAGCCTTCGCCCCCTCCCCCTGCCGCCCCGTGCGCACGGCGAAGACGGGGGGAAGGGCATAGGGTGCGGGGCCCAAAGGTGTACACAACCACAACCTCCCTCATCCCCTCCCTCTCCCAGGAGAGGGGAGAGGAGGATGAGGGTGGAGGAGGGAGGGGGAATGGAGGTGATGGCGGTGGTGCATCGGAGGTTGGAGGATGTGCACGACAGTGACCCCAACCGGGAAATCGGTTTCGGATTCGGTCGTATCGTGCGTGCGGGCGAGGCGGAGCTGCGCGGGCTCCCGCACTGGTAGGGGCCATCTATTGCCAAAAGGGCCGCCCTCCCCCATCGGTTGTACTGGCGGTTGTCCAAGCGGTTGTCCCGATGTTTGTCCCGATGGTTGGACAGATGGTTGTCCCGGTGGTTGTCCCAATGGTTGTCCCGATGGTTGTACCGATGGTTGTTCCGATGGTAGTCTCGGCGGTTGTCACGATGGTTGTCCCGATGTTTGCCCCGATGGTTGTCCCAGCGGTTGTCCCCGCGGATGTCTTGGTGGTTGTCCCGATGGTTGTCCCGATGGTTGTCCCGATGGTTGTCCCGATGGTTGTCCTGATGGTTGTCACGATGGTTGTCCCGATGATTGTCCCGATGGCTTCCCCGATGGTTGTCCCGATTGTTGTCCCGATGGTTGCCCAGATGGTTGTCCCGATAATTTTCCCGATGTTTGTCCTGATGGTTGCCCCGATTGTTGTCCTGATATGTTGTCCCGATGATTATCCCGATGGCTATCCTGGTAGTTGTCTTCACGGTTGTCCCGATGGTTGTCCCGGAGGTTATTTTGATGGTTGTTCTGATGGTTTTTCTGATGGGTCATAGATAGATAGGTAGATGTTGATCGATACAGAGATACATTCATGTATGGATATTTGATAGAGTGAGTGATGATGGGCCAATTGATTGATGTATTGATCGATCTGTAGATATATACTAGATTGGTAGGTTGTTGTTTTGAGATATTGATATACACATATATATGTATAGTTCTGAAGATTGGTGTCTAAACATGTATGTATATGTGTATACCAGATAGAACTGTACATATATAGGTGGGTAGCTTGAAGTACTCATTTACACACATAGATTTACATATATTGGCTTATGCATAGATACATCGCTAAAATGTATCGGTGGACCTTTTTGATTTTTAGATAGATTGACTGATTGAGTGGTTGGTTGATGTATTGATTTGTCTATCTATATTCACATATAAAAAATATGTATACAAACATAGATATATAGACACATCGTCATAGATGTACTGATGATGCGTGGGCCTCTCTGGCGTAGCTAGTACGGCGGGGCACGACGCTGCAAGCGCTCGTGCGAGCGCACGAAGACCCTCTCAAGCAGGCGATTCGCCCAGTGGAGCAGCGGGAGCCGTCTGACATCGAGATCTCCGACTTGCGGGCAATGCTCGCCATTGGCGGCGCGGCGCCAATCGTTGATAGCGTTGCGACGAACTGCGCGGAGAAGTCCGATCGCAAGGGCGTCGGTCTGTGGGCGTTTGTAGCTTCGTTGGGCGCTGAGAGAAAAAGGCAAGACCAAAGAGTGCGAACCGCAGGAGGGCCCGAGTGAAGCGGGCGACGCATCGGTGACCAGGCTCTGCCAGCCGCCGGCGCCCTCGGACAGTCGTGGCTTCACATGCTCTTCGGCGCAGGTTCCAATTCAGCCCGGCGAGGCTGTCGCAACGCAGCGCGAAGACACTCGGGGCGAAGACTGCGCGGCGCAGGCCATGCAGGAAATGGGCTGCCAAGCTGGTGGCATCGCCCGCGCGCTGGAGAGCGCGGCGTTCCCATGCGGCAAGGCGCTCCTGTTTCTACTGAGCGGCGTCATCGACAAGCGCGCCAAACAGGACACCAAGGTTCGGGGGAGAAGAAGATACGGATACGTGTTGTCCCCCTTCGTTTTCGGCCTTTCCTGGTCCTCCTGGGGAATCCTCGTTGTCACCGCTGGATTCGCTTCGAAATTCTGGTCAGAACGCACCCCAAGAGAGGTCCGGGGACAACACGTATTCGTATCTTTCCGCCCCCCAAAAGGTCCGCTTGTGACGACACCTCCGTCAGTCAGTAAAATCTTTTAACGGCCAGAAATTGGCAAGCTTGTCCGTGCTCGCACAGTACAGGCGGTACGCCCACGACCACTACCAGCTCAGCGTGACGGTCTGGGATTTTGGCCAGTGCGCAGGTCGAACCTCTGGCGCGCGCATCTGGCTCTGCTTGGCGGCTGGCTTGGCGGAGAGCGGAGAAGGTGTTTTGGCCCAGGCTCTGCCAGGTGACCACCCCGTGTGTTTGTCCTTGGCGAGGGTGCGCGCCAGGGGCATGCCGGCTCGCGCAGCTCCGAGCCCGCGGCGCACTGATTTGCGAGCGTGCGCCGAGGCGCTGCGAATGTACTTGTGCAGCGGCGCAGCCGCCGCCATGATGCGGCCAGATCTCATGGCCAGACTTCACTAGGTGTTTGCTGCCCTCCATGCGCGTCGCCCCACGCGCGCCCGTTGTCATGGCCGTCGCACTTGAACCGGGAATCCGCGTTTGCTGCATTCCGCACACGCCGGAATTATGTAGCTTCGCCGTGGGCGCCGTCCACACACGGCGTTCCTCCGCTCCCGGGGGTGCGCGGGCGACATTCTATGTGTTGGGAACAACGATGTCTACCGTGTGTACTTGCCGCCGCGCGAGTGACGGGGGACCAAGCTCTGCTAGTGCCCCGAGCACGCGGGAGCAGAGGGGGAGCCGTCCTGGTCGGGGGACAGGGCGGTGAAGTTGAGGTGTTTGCAGTCGGAGCCTACGTCGCCACCGCCGCGGCAGTCCCAGTGAGGCACTTAGCTATCCTTCGTCTCCAGGCTCTGCCAGCGGGAGGCCACTAGTGAGCGCGAGGGGTACTGCGCGCAGGGTTGAGCAGCGGGGGTGGGATTGCGATAGAGGTGTTTTTCTCGAGCGCGCAGACGTTAGAGCATGCGCCAGCACGCAGTGGACGCCTTGGGCGCTCGGCATAGACAGGGGCACGAGCGAGAACCATCATGTCACACCGCTGCGCTCATGTCACCATCACGACAACTAACAAGCGGTGCCAGCGTGCCAGGTTTATTTATATATATAATATATATATATATATATATATATATATTCATTCTATATATATATACATCGATATATAGGCAGGTCCATACCTACATCGAGATACATGTATAAGTATGTATATTACCAAAATCGGTGGGTGTCCTGAATCGATAACTCGAAGGATAGGTCGATAGATGGATGGGCAGACGCGCGCGACAATAGGGAAGTTGAAGATACGACCAGAGAACCCAGAGCCATCGCACATCGACCGCCCCCGCCCCTCCCCCCCCCCCAAGAAAAACATCCTCATCACCCGTTGGGTGGTCCTGTCGGCATTACTGTGGCCCGCGCAGGGGGGACACATCGACCCCCACAGCCCACTGACGGCCGATATGGGGCTCGTTAGGCCCAGCCCGCCCAGGAAGGTGCGGCTGCGCTGCCGGGGGCCGATCGCCGATTTATCGACGGCGCATCGCCGATTCCAGGTCGACGCGTCGACCCATAGTTATACCAGCCCCCCCCAAACGCTGCTCCTCGAGGGAGGGGGGTCCAGGCTCACCGCGAAGGAGATCATTAAGCCTGCCCAGCGGTCGTCGGAAGTAGGTATCTGCATGCCCAGATTCCGATCTCGTTCACGCACCTTCCCACCTCAACGATCGAGTGGCTTCAGTTTTTCCCGTCCCCCCTCTGGGGGCGGGCGGACACCCAATCTACCTTCAGCGCCTTCCTGCTTCATGTGTCGACCTGCTTCTCTTGACTGATGGCTAAGCTTCATGCAAACCCCAACCCCAGCTAACACAATGATCTTGTGACCCAGCTCGCGTCCCCGGTTCTTTATCATTATGAGTTGCCCTACTACCACTATGATTGCTATCTGTATTATTATATCCTTGAATAGATGAGTGGTTCGTCTGATGCGTGCGCCAGCGGCATCCCTGACACTTCTGGCCCTCCTGACTGAGGGCCCTGGTCAGAGGGCCAGGGGCCACTTTCGTTCGTATCAGAAGGGGCGGCCGCCGTGGAGAGGGGTCGGGCCGTGGGGGAACGATCTGGGCCGATGGGAAGGGTGTCGCAGGGAACCCTCGGGGGGGGTCCAGGGCCCCAGGGCGGCGGAGGACGGCTCGTTGACGAGGAGCAGGGGCCCCGGGAGGGCCCCTGGGTCAGGACCCGACCCCTGCCCCTGCTGCCTCGTGTCGGCCGAGAGGGCGGGGGAAGGGGGGAAACGACGACAGGGAGAAGGCCTTCTCGGAATGCGGCGGGGCCTCTCAGGAGCCTTCGCGCCTTCTGGGAGAAGGGTTCCGCGTCGTCGAGGGAGCTCCTCGGCACGAACGAATGGGTAGGGAAAGAATGGGCACAATGCTCAACAGCAGCTCGTTGCTGATTAGTGCAGAACTCGTTGTCCGCGCTTCCGCGGCCTGTGTCCACTTGAGACAGAAGGCCGCATGCCCAACAGCGGCCGCTGATCCTTTGGGACAACACTTGTTGTTGGGCATTGCACCCATGTTTTTTACACGGCCAATCCGCATAGTAAGGATGGGCAACCTTCCCAAGGGTACCCTTGCATCCTTGCCTCCTCGGTCCATCCTTCGCCACTTTCGTCGACCGCGCCCCGCTCGAAAAGCTTCGAAATTGGCGTCCAAGGCCCTTGCATCCTTATCGCGCATCCTTCCTATGCGGGTTGACTGTACCCATTTCGGGCGCCCAGAGAGCAGACAACTTTTCAGAGGGCTGTGGGACTTCCGAGCCCTCGGAGGAGGCCCGCCCCTGCTCAACCTCCCCCCCAGGGCCGCCGCCGATCGTGTCAAGGGGCCAGTCTTCAGTCGGGCATGCCCCCCTACAAGGGGAATGCTCAAACATACTTGTTTTTGTATGGAAAAAAAGGCGCACGAGTGGTCGTAAGCATTGTTTCAAGCGATTGTTGAATAGTTGTGGGGTATCTTTTTTTTGGCATCCAGAATCCGCCTGTAGGGGGACACGCCCGACCTGAGGCCCGTCGGCTCTCGACGGGGATCGAGGATAGGGATGCTCGGTGTGGAACAGTTGACCTCTTGCCTTCAATGAGGCCTCCTAGAGCGCCCTCGTCCCTCCCGCCGGGTTCTTGTCGGAGTCCTGATCCAAACGCACCCCAAACGAGACTCCTTGGGAGGGAGGAGGAGGACGTGGAGGATCCAGATCGCCGGCGTCACGAAACAAAACTCGCGACGCCCGGCTTCCGCGCGAGGAGCGGGCCTCTGGAGGGCCGGTTTCGGCCCCCGGGACCGTCACGAGAGTCAGTCTGGGCATTCCCGAGCCCGATGGGGCGATCCGTGATGAGAAGCCGGCCCCAGGGATGGGATCGAGAGGTCTTGCCACCAGGGGGCGCGGCGGCGGCGTCACGGAGAGCTGCCACGCCGCGGGTCGGAGCATGCCTCCTCGGGCCTCCTGCGGGGGGTCCTCGTTGCCACGGCCGGGCGCAGCCCGAGAAGTGTGGCACGGGGGGGGCGTCCCGACATCGAGGGGGTGGGCTGCAGCGGCATCGCCAGGGGCCGCCCCAAAAAGAATGGGGGGGGGGGGCCGAGTGGCTGCGCGCGGTACGTCGTCGTCGTAGCGGCTACGACCCCTGGAAGCTCAAGCCGACGCTGGAAGGGAAAGGAGGAAGAGACGGACGAGGAGGAGGGCGGAGGAGGTATGAAAAGGAAGCGGCGAATTCGTGCAGGCCCCGGATGGGCCCTTCCATCGCGAAGGATGCTCGACAGCTTGAACCAGCTCTCAAAGATCTGAGTCTCGACCTGTCTGGAACTTTCAAGCGGGAGCTCTTGCGAGGCTGTGTGTCTGGAGGGGGGGGGGGGGGGCATTTTTCCCCCCGCAGTGTACTGACATCTTCCGCCCCATCGTGGTATGAATGAACCGGATCCTGAGGGAAACGGGTCCTGGACCCCATGTTAAGTCGGGCTTGTCCCTCTACAGGGGGAATCGAAAATTGTCAAAAATAGTCGGGAGACGATGTGTTGATCATGTTTTGATTATGTTCGGGTATGTTTGTTGAATAGTGCACATTGTTCGTCCATAATCCGCCTGTAGGGGGACAGGCCCGATCTAACCCCAGGGCCTTCGTCCAGCATCAGTTGTTGATCCTGAATAATTTTGGAGGTCTTGGGGCCCAGGGAGGGCCCCAGGAGGCCGCACGATGAAAAACATCAGGACCCCTTTCCTTCATGGCGACCTTCCTTGACGATGGCCGGCGCAGGCCATTGACGGCATCACGGCAGACTACGACGGATCTTACAAGACGGTCTTGGACTTCGGCATCACGTTCTCCTTGTGCGCGGTCGTGTTGCCCGCGTGGGCCATGTACATCTTGCCGAAGGCTTCTCCAGCGAGACGGCAGTCGAAGATCAGGCGAACATGCTCGAATGATCTCTCGAGGTCTTGGCGCTGCAGTGTTCCGTGCTTGGCGATGTTACTTTGTTTCGGGCCCCTGGATCCTCGTGGATCGATCCGGATGCAGCCGAAGCATGGGGTCTAACATGAAGTCGGGCCTGTCCCCTACAGGGGGTTTTCCACGAAAAGTTAAAAGTACCCCAAGAATACCCCAAGAAGGTCAACACATACTCCAGAACACAGTCCCCGGACCACTTCTGGACTGTGCTTGGCCTATCTTCGGGGTATCTCTCTGTGCTCCGTCGAGGATCCCCCTGGAGGGGGACCGGCCCGACTTGAGTCTGACATCGGATCTCCGGGTAAGGCGTTGGGCTGCGCACGGGCCCCCGCGCTCCCGCCCCGGGGCGCGGATCGCCTCGGGAGCGCCGCCGGGGCGTCGAGGCCGCCCCGGACTTGCTCGGAGGCCTGCCGCGGCCAGCCAGCACTGCCTGTCGGGGGCTGACGGGGCGCAGCCAGGAACCTCACCAGCAGACCTAGGATGAAGACAGTTCTTGACGTTCCGCGTGTCCCCACCAGTTGTTGCAGCACCCTTGCACCCGCCGCCGCCCCGGCGCCGGCCGCGGCCCGCGCGCGCGTCCGGCCAATTAGTTTCGGCCGCAGCCCGACCGTTACTCGCCGCCGCTGGCGCTTCCGCCCGCGGCTGTAAAAAAAAAGTGTCCCCACCAGCCCCCCCGGCTCCTCTTGCTGCTCTGGCCCTGAGGCTTCGGCGGTAGGTCCTGCTCTGCTCCGCGCTAGGTAATTGGGCCCCCGCGCGGCCCGCTCTGACCTTTCTCGCCGTTGGCGCGGTCGCCGTCGGCTGCTACTAAAGAAAAGTGTCCCCACCAGCTTCGACATTTGTGCTCGTCCACTTCACGGATGTCGTCGGGGGGTGCTTGTCGGTCCCGTTCGTTTCTGACGTTGCCGTCTGGCTGACTCACACCGACGGATCTACCTCTACGTGAGTTTGGTCGCGCCGCCGCGCCATTCTGGCTGCGTCTACTCGCTGGTAGCCACCCAGATTTTCGGACGCCACCGGGAATGGGTCTACCAGTTCTTTTCGCCCTTCTGAGCTGCCGCCCGTTTGCTGCGCCAGTCTTGCTTTTCCGCTGCCTAGTCGTGGCCCGGCTAGAGTGTGGTGCAGACGCCTTTTGACCCGCTTCACGAGGCCGTTGACCAAAAAGTGCCCCCACCAGCACATCCAGAAATAGTTGCCAGGGTTGCTCGAGTCAGGGCAGTCTAGAAGCATGCAGTGGAACGTCTGCCTTTGTGAGCGTGCGGGAGCCGCGGAAACGGCGAGAATGATCGTTTAATGGCTGAACAAATGTTCCCATGCCGTCCCTGCTTTAAGTGGCTTTTCTTGGATGACGTCTTGGAGTTGTCTTGCATATCTTTTAAAGGATCCTTGGGCATTTGATTGGCTTCGCGTGCAGGACGAATAGGAGCGTATTGCATCATTTTACACAGGAGTTCCTTGTCACGGCAGTTTTACTCGGATCTTCTTTGAATTAATTATCTAGGGTCTTTCCAGAAGCAGATCGCCAGGCGAGTTGCCTTGATCAGGGAATTGTGAAAGAATGCAGTGCGACAGTTATCTTAGACGCGTTTTCTCGGATGTCTCTTGGAGCCGTCCTGGGTCTCTCTTCGGCTCCACGCGGAGCCTCTTGGGGCACTCTTGAGGCCCTATTGGGGCTCTCTTTGGGCCTTCTCCTGGGGCTCTCTGAGGGGTCTGGGAGGCCTCTTGGGGCCATCTTGGCTCCCAGGAGTCCAACAGAGGGGGGTAATAGATTCACGTCCCCCCCCCTGGAGGCTCCAAAATGCAGTCGTGGGGACCTCTTGAGCCAACGCTCTTAGGCGTACTTGGGGCCCTCTTGAGCCCCACGTGGGGCTCTCTTGGACCGCCTTGGGGCCATGTTGAGGCATCCGAGGCCCACCGGAAGCGAGAATGCGAGAAGGAAAAACAACATGTTTGTTCCAAGGATTTGGAGCTATTTGGGCGTTTTGGGGAAGTCCTTGGAAGGCTCGAAGGACAGGGGAAACCGTCTTGAGGCCGTCTGGAGGCTTCTTGGAGCTGTGTCGGAGATCGAGTATGTTAGGCCATCCTGGAGACCATCTTGCACTCCTCTGAGGCCTCTTGGAGCCATATAGGGCGATCCTGGGTTCTCTAACCCCTCGTGGGGCGCCCCATCCAGATCCAAGGCAGGGGGTAGGGAGAGGGATCAAGTCACCCTCCTAGATAGCAAGCCGTCTAGCTCACTCCCACCCGCCCTCCCAACACATAAGTAACCCCCGAGCCTCAGCATGTTCAGCAGTCGTCTTTGGATGGGCAGCTACTGGGGACCAGAACCGACCCCATGCGCGCGACGCTGGGGCGAGGTGCGCAACGCGTGCCAGGCGCGTCACGCGCGCCAGGCACCCCTGGGACCCGAGTGTGCCAGGCACGCCTGGTGCGCCAGATGCGCCAGGTGTGCAGCATACTCCAGCCGGGCCAGGTGCGCCACGTTCGGGGCACGTGCAGAGTGTGTCAGGTACGCCTGCGCACGTGACAGCACACAACAAGAAACATGTCGGCCCCTACCCTCCTTGTCGAAAACCAGCGCCTATCATTGTGTCTGGTGGGCCTGCGCGCAGCAGGCCACACGCCACCACCCCCACCGTCCGTGCCAAAAACCGCTTGACAGTGATCGCGGGGTGGCCGCGCATGATCCAGATTTAGCCGCGAGGTGCATTGTGTATTGTTGTTTGACAGGAATGGTGGCCCTGCGGACAGCAGGAAATATGCTGACACCCCTGCCGTCCCTTTCAAAAACAATACGAAGTGCTCGCGGGCCTCACGGACATGACTCAAGACTTTGCCCCAAAAGTATACGTTGCATTGTTTTTCGAAAGGGATGGTGGGGGGGCGCATCGGGTTGGTTGCGTATGCTCCGAATTTGGAGGCAGAGTGTGCTTTGTATTGTTTTGTTGACAGGGATGGCTGGGGGTGGGGATCATACGTTCGGCATTCTTCCTGGTTGGCTGCCGGTCGCCTGGGGGAGGGGGTGTATATTAATAGGCAGCGATGATAAACCACTCCCCCGAGCAGGGGAAGGAAAGGTTTTGGCAGGGAGAAACCAAAAGTCGTTAAACAACCCACGCCCAGAGGGCTCGTGGGATGAACTCCAGAGCGCTCTGGACCCGCTGTGGCGCCCGACATGCCTCCAGAACCCCGCCAGCCCTTAGACATCCCCCGTCATCCGACTCTATCTTCACCCTGCCTGCCTTGGCTTCAGAACAGAATCGGGTTGGGCGAAAGGGGGGGGGGGGGAAAGGGGGGATACGAAATCTGCTGCATGCAGCTGGTTTCGGCCCCGCCGGCGGGCCCATTCCTCGATACATGGGCGCCTCCCGGCGCCGGGAGCGCCGGTACAATCAGCCACGTGAGCTGATTCTCAACCCCCCCTTTGCTAGTGAGCATTCTTTTATTATTTGTTTTTGCTTTCGGCGGAACGCCCCCCCCCTCGCCCCCCCCCCGTAGAGAAGTTCCGGGCTGATTTTGGCACCTGCTTCAATCGATCGGACGAACTACAGGGGCCGGCGCCCCCCCCCCCTCCCCCGGTAGAAACTCGAATCGCTGATGTGTGCAACTGTGCGCATTTTATCGTGCTACTCTTCTGGAACCACAACGAAAGGGCTCAGGGGCGCCAGACCCGATCGCCAGAAAGCATGCCTCCGGCTGGGCCCTCCCCTGTTATGCCAGCGACGGCCTCGTGGAATCATGAATAGGTGATCCCTAGCAATTCTGGCACAGGCTTGCCAAATCACGCATAGCCTTGGCGCAGCCCCGCGCAGCCGCTGCGCGATTCCCCCATGGGGGGTCTCCCCTAGGATTCCCTCATCGGCATCTCCCACAGGATTCCCCACATGATTCAATCGGAGGCATTGACTACGGGCCGAGAGCCGGACCCCCCCCCCTCCCCCCCATGCGCCTAAAGCCGGAACCCAGAATAAAAGAATGCTCACCTATCCCCCCCTTTCGCCCGGCCCGACAGAGGTGCCCGGAGGTCCGCGCTGAGCTCTGTGGCTGGCGCTGGCCTCCTCCCCTTCACACCCCGGGCGGTACCTCCATCGCCGCCCTTGTCGCGCTTCGCTTGTCATGGGAGGGGGGGAGGAGCCAGCACCACCCAAGCAGCCCGCGCAGACCTCGTGGCGCTCCCCCTGTGGGCAGGAGGAAGGGCGGGAAGTGGGATGGCCGGTGATCCCCCTGATCCCCCGGTGGCACGCCGCTCGTGTCGGCCCGCGCTCCACCGCCTCCACGTCGGAGGGCTTTGGTTGGCAGCCACAGGTCGGCGCCAGCACGCGTTCTGAGGATCATCGGGACGGGAGCGGCGGCGGGGAGGGGGCGGAGTTCTGACCGGGCGGCGGCATCAGGGAGCCGTCCTCGCTACTCACACCCTGCCTCCTCCCCTCTGGCCGCCGCCGCCGCCGCTGCTGCGGCTCCTCTTGCCCCTCCCTCCCCCCTTCCGCCCCCCCACCCCGTCGGAAGGAGGAGAAGCGATACCAAACACCACCAGGGGACCAACTCCAGCGAAGAGGTCCACGATGCCTCCCCGAGCTGGAGGCTGGGCGTGTCTCGAGCGTGGGGGGGGGGGGACCACACCACCCGGGAGTTCCCCTTGCCTCCTCGCATCTCCTCGCCTTGTTGGTGCTGGTGTCGCCTTTCCTTGTTCCTGCCCCACCCCCCCTCTCCGCTCCCACCTCCTCCCCCCCGTGGCCTCCCCACTCTCTCCCCCCATCCCTCCCCCTCCCCTCCACGCACCCGCTCCTCCCATCCCCTCCTGCCTGCCCCCTCCCTCCCGCTCCTCACCTCACCGTCCTCCATCTCATCCCCATCCTTTCTCCAGGTGGGTGGGTCCGCATGCGGTCGGCGCTGTGATCCTGGTACGCACCCCTGGCAGAGCCTCGTGCCTCGCAGGGAGACGTGGCAGCATGCGGTCGGTGCGCCCATTCTGGCATTCGTCTTGTACAAAGTCGGACTCCAGCCGCGGCCCCAGTGGGCGTGACCGCATGGGATCGGGGTCTCCATTTCAGCCCGCTCATCATGCCTTCCGTACCCCATACGGGGCCCCAGCTACGGTCCAAGAGCGGGTGTCCGCATGCGGTCGGTGATCTGTTTTCGGCGCGTTCCTCGTGCGTTTTATGTCCTTTACTTTCAGCAACGGCCCCAGTGCATGTGGTCGTCGCTTTGCTTCCGCCGCATTCCGCTTGCGCCTCGTGTCCCAATTGGAAGCCCCAGTGACGGTTTCGATGAGTGCGTCCGCATGCGGTTGGCACTTCCATTCCGACGCATTGTTCGTGCGTTCCATGCCGCATAGGGAACCCCTGCTACGGCCCCAGTGCCTGCGGTCGGCTCTTGGATGTTGTGGCGCTTGGATTTTGGCGCGCAACACGTTGATCTCGTGGTGCCCCATGGGGAGCTCTATCTACGGGTACCCCATGGGGAGCCCTATCTACGGCCTCAGTGGGTGTGTTCACATGCGGTCGGCAGCGTGATTTCGGCACGCACCCTTCGCACGCATCGTGCATTCCCCCTCCACTCGGCCGAGGGGTACGAAGTGGACAACGAGGAGCGCGACGAGGAGGACGAGGAGGAGGCTGACGAGGCAGAGGGGAGAGGAGGAGACCGGAGGCACGCCTCCCACGCTTCAAGGTGGGAGCGACGTCCGCTCCCGCCCGCACTTCCCCTGGCCCCCGCCTCCCGCGGAGCCCAGGACATACGGAGCGCGCTGCCCCACACGCTGCACACAGCGTAAGATTCCGCAGGGCTCCTCCTCCTCCTCCTCCCTCCTCCTCCTCCTCCTCCTCCTCCTCCTCCTCCTCCTCCCCTCCTCCTCCTCCTCCTCCTCCTCCTCTCCTCCTCCTCCTCCTCCTCCTCCTCCTCCTCCTCCTCCAATCCTCCAATCCTCCTCCTCCTCCTCCTCCTCCTCCTCTTCCTCCTCCCCTGGAGGGAATAAGATCCTTCGCTGTGCTCCTGCCGGTGCTCGTGTGCCGCTTTTGCTGGGCAGTTTCCGGGCCGGCCGAGCACCATTTTTGCACTGGTCGCGCCCAGGGCCGTGGCATGCGTCGTGGTGATATGCTCGCGCACCGGAAGCGGTGCTCTAGCGTGACGTCGGGCCTGTCCGTCTACAGGAGGAGTATTCAGAAATACAAAAAATAGTTTGGGGACGATTATTTGAGTATTGTGTTGCCTCCATTTGAATATATTTGGGGTATTTGTTATCTTTCGTCCAAAATCCGCCTGTCGGGGACATGCATGGCCTAACTCTAGCGTGCCCGGCCCACGAACCGCAGGTGCTGGAGGACGAGGAGCAGAAGAAGGACAAGGAGAAGGAGGCCAACGGACATGCAGAGGAGCTCTTGCAGACAGCGCTCGCTCGTTTCGCGACTGTGACGAGGCAGGGGCCGTCTGCGCCAGCGGAATGGCCTGAACGGGGATACCGTTGAAGCGAGTTGTGCCACCATGCATGAGGGAGGGGAAAAGCGCAGGGCGTCGGACAACGCTCACACATAAGACAATGTTGTATTTGCTCGATGTGGTATCTGCGCGTGCGATGTCTTGTTCTTCACTTCCTTGTTCTCGACATGCTTGTTTTGGTTTTCCCGTGAGATGAGGCAATCGAACGTTGACATCAGAGAAGGTAGCTTGATTGCGTTTGATGGAGGGAGTCGTGCGCCGCGCATCGCACGGAAGTAGATCCGCGACGTGTTAAAAGTTTACTTTCGCAGGAGCTCGGCTCATTTGGTGACGAGTCCATGACCGAGTGACACGCTACGCCATTGCATCTTGCATGCTTTACCACTCTTTCATGCATGTAGAGGCCGAGGCGAGCGGTTGGGCAGCAAGCAATGTCGCAATGTCGCGGGTGGTTCGGCCCAGGTCAGCTGTCAGAGACCGAGGAACGAGGCAGCCTGCGACCAAGGGCAGCTTTCAGAGAGCCATAGGACACATAAAGATGCCCGGGGCATTGTTTACAGTTTTCAGCTCGGCAGTGAGGGAATCGTGTGTTTGGTGCTTCCAGGTCTCAGGAGAAAACTGAAGATTCAGTGTAGACTTGAAATGCTTTTGGAGTTTCCAGGTCCGCTTTTGCTGACCAGGGGTGTGGCAGTGTGCTTCCGGGCTTGCGCTGGACAGATTGGTTGTGTCGTCGTCGTAGGGTTTTTAAGCCGTTTTCGGCCTTGCGGCGGCAAGCTCGTCCCAAGAGTTTCCCGCTTTCTGCAGTGCCCACTGCAGAGTGGTACTTTAGACAGACGACACACATGCATCAATTATGACGTCACAGCACTGTTGTTTTTCTTTTGTGTTTTTTATCGGAGAGCGTGATCCACTGCCGCTTTACTATGGAAAATTCCCCCCACCCGGGGGTCCCCCCCCCTCAGAAAATCCCCCCCGCTGCTGGAACCCCTCCCCCCCCCTCCTCCTCCCCGGCAACCCCCCCCCCTCTCCTACTTCGTGTCCCTGGCCTCTCTTCCGTTATATCTTGAGTTACAGTGGACTTAGCGAGACTTAGCGCAATTGTTTACAAGTTTCTTAGGACAATTTGCGTAGTAGTTGCTATCCAGAAGCAAGTTCACCGCATATTTTCATAAGGTAACATAAGTTAACATAAGTTAACATAAGATTACATAAGTTTCAGTAGCCATTTTGGCTCAAGTTTCAGTGGCAATTTTGGCTCAGATGCGCTATGACGGAGGCCCGTTCAGCCAGAATCGTCGCAGCATTGCAGGCAGGCGGCTTGCACGTTCCATGCCGCGCCCTCTGCCGCATGGTGAATGCCTTGCAAGAGGACGACGGCAGTGACCACGAAGGCAGTGCAATCCAGGGGCATCGGCAATTACAGGACCAGGTCAATGAGATCGGCAACCGCAGCACGGATTATGGCCGAATGATAACCAACATAGCGTTGCCCCGCGAAGACGGTGGCGAGATGTCGTGGGATATCATTAACCCGTTCGCAGTGTTGTCTGTAATGTGCGAGGAGTGTTCATGGTTTGCGAGGCTTCTCCACGACTCCGTCGGCAGTGGTAAAGCCAGCCTGGTGGTGTGGGGAGACGAGACATCGTCGGGGAACCAGCTGCGGCCTGACGCAGCAAACAAATGGCTATCCGTGTATTGGACGGTGGTAAACCTACCGTCATATTTCCGATCCTCGGACCCAGGGTGGATACCTCTCGGCGTTCTCAAGTATGACGATCTAAAAGCAGTTCGTTGCCAGTACAGCGGCGTCATCCGATCTGCACTGCATATGTTTACCCAGCACATGTTTTCGTTCAGCGTGGGCATCCGTTTGAGAGACGGACGCGGAGGCATGTTTTTATTTGCTGGAGAATTGTGTGCCGTGCTGCAAGATGAGAAAGCTCACAAAGAAATGAAATCCACCAAGGGGGCGAGCGGATCTGTGTGCTGGTCTTCTTGTAAGAATATATACAATGGTGGCGCTTCAAAAGTGCAGGGACATACATATATACGGCACTACGCTGTCACGCCGCCTTGTGAGTTCGACCTCCACACAGATGAATCGGTCTGGGAGCTGTGCGATAAGCTTGAGGAGCAAAAGCCTTTGCTGAGCAAAAAAGATTTTAAGGTTTTAGAGCAGAAGGCTGGTCTGCGCTTGGAACCAGGGGCTTTGCTGTTCGACAAAGCATTGCGAGGCGTTTTCAAACCACAAAGCCACACATATTGGGATTGGATGCACATCATATGTGCAAGCGGCGGTACTGCTCAGATCAATTGCAATGAACTGTGTTTAACATTATTGCAAAAAGGCGTGACGCTGGAGGCGTTGGATGCGTTTCAGAGACAGCTTTTGGCCGATCAGAAAAACGTAAGAAAATTGCCGCTGCGGCTGTTCCAAGACCGCGTCGTGAACGCGCACGGTCACCACATGAAGTTATTCGCTGGGGAGTGCTTGACGGTGGTAACGGTCCTAGCTACGTTTGCCCGTGGCTCCCTGGACGTGGAGTGCCCGCATTGACGGTGCATACAAGTCCTGAGTGACCTCTGCGATCTTTTAACAGCTGGTGACGACGCGGTGCCGAAGACAACCCAGCTCGCGACCTTGCTCTGGCATCACCACTCCCTCATGCTAAATACTTACGGGGAGGCGTCGTGCAAGATCAAGGCGCACTTGCAGCGCCATGTGCCCAGGTGCATCGCCCGCACTAAAGCGAATCTAGATAATAGCCTTCCGCCCTCCCACCCACCCACCCCCCCGCCCCCCGTCGGGTTCGCGCGGATAAGGTCGGGTCGACGGGTTCTAGAATTTGGGCCCCTCGCTCGGGAAGGGGCAGGCGGAAGTTGTTTCTCGAACGAGAGGCGCAATCGGAAGCTGAAAGCAGTTGCCAATCCGAATGTCCAGAACGCATCCCGCCAAGTTCTCGTTAGGCTTCTTCCTGATTTTTTAGACATGATGCGGTCTGGCGAGGGGGGGCATCCGTTTTGTTTGACAGAGCCCGTCGTGGACGCGTCATGGATGGCAGTTCACTTTTCCCCGCTGGCGAGGCCATCCCGCGTGCATCTGTCTCGGAGCATGCGTTGGCCCCGTAGTAAGATTTCGGCGGGCGACGTGTTGTCTGTTCGCGTTGCCGACGGCATGGTCGGCGTGATCAGGGTCACGCGCTGTGCCGATGCGCGTTTCGATCGAGCCCCGACGATTCCACACTGTTTCGTTATTGGCGTTGCGTGCGCCGAGGTGCACAATGGCGCGGCGCCCGCCGACGCGCACGCTGTCGAGTACTGTCCTACAGACAGCTTTGCCGCTGCGGAGATGGCTTGCGTTATTCACAACCATATACATTACAAAAGCAGGCGTGGATTTCGAGTACTGTTCAAATATTCTTGTTAAAGCGTTCCCGATAAAGAACACCTCTGCCTTCGCCCTACCCCCGCTGCCCAGGGGGGGGAGGGGGAGGGCGACGACGCCGAGGAGGGAGGGCAGAGAGGGGGGGCACACGCACGCGCGCACACCCGCACACCCGCACACCCGCACACCCGCACACCCGCACACCCGCACACCCGCACACCCGCAGACGCATAACTGATATTGCAATACACGTTCAAGTCCCATGTCCCTTCCTCATTTCCATTCTCTCCATCCCGTCTCCTCCCTCCTCCGCCGTCGGCCCTGCGCGGGGGTCGGCCGCCGCCCGCGCGAGCTCTCACCTGTCGGCGCGGGCGGGGTGGGGGGCGCGCGTTGGATCAGGCAAGTCGAGGAGGAGCTGGGTTGCAGGAGTCGGGATCGAGAGAGCAGGGGGTCACAACGGGGGCAAAGGGCCCCGCGGCAGCTAGCGTTGGTTTCGAGGCAGGTCCAGCCGCGGTCGCGAGGGCCCATTGCACATTGGGGGGGAAAGCATACACATGCTCTGAAACGTCATGTTTTTATGCGTTGCGATCCTCGTTTCCCCCCTCTTCCTCCTCCTCTTGCTTCCCCGCCCCCACGTCCCCCCTCTGCCCTCGTTGACTGCCTGGCCGCCGCCGTATGGGATCGGATCAGCGTTCAGTAGTTTTCGGCATGACGAGCATGTATTTCGGTCCGACTTCAGATGGGCCAGTCGCAACGCTTCGGGAGAGCTGTCCGATCGGCACGATCACCAGCAGCCAGGCAGCCATCGCGTTCGGCCTCGCGCATTGCCGCTCGAGCATCCGTAACAGGGGCCGCGGGGCAGGCCGCGAACTCATGATCACAGGTCGAACGTCGAACCTCGAGCGAGCCCGCGCCATCACCCTAGATTTCGCCGCTTTGAACGGGGCCGATGGCGGTCGGAAGACCCCAGCTGAGCAGGAGCTTCACCGTCTTCACACTAGTCTACGTCGATTGGAAGAGAGAGCACGGGTCGCCGAGATGTCGGCGCGGTTAGCTATGTCAAATGCAGCGTTCCTGATGGCGGCGGCGCCCGTGCCCTGCTGGATTTTTCTGCCCCCCCAATGGGCGCCTTGCGGGCCCGGCGCCGCGTTCGGGGACGACGCGAACTTCCCCTTCGTGCACGAGGCGCATGCCGAGACCGAGGAGCGCGGCCGAGGCTCCGCCCCGTCGCGGGGGGGGGGAGTCTGCACATGTTGGACAATTCTTTACGCTTCGCGTATCCCCACCAGCCCATCTCACAGCAGCAACTCTCGCGAAGCATGCCGACAGTCGTGTTTTTCAGGCGTGTGTCCGCTTGGCCCCGCATATCTCCCCTGTTCCTCCTTCCCCCCGCCTCCTTATACATCCTCCTTGCGAGGGGAGCGGGAGAAGGACGAGGCGGAGGAGGAGGGAGAGAAAGCGCTCCTCGTGATTTGAGTCGTTTGGGGTTTCTCGTCCTGGTGTGAGTCGTTCGGGCCCTTCTTCCTGGTGTGAGTCGTTCGGGCTCTTCGTGGTGCGAGTCGTTCGGGCTCTTCGCCCTGGTGTGAGTCGTTCGGGCTTCTCGTGGCGTGAGTTGTTCGGGCCCCTCATCCTGGTGTGAGTCGTTCGGGCCCCTCCTCCTGATGTGACTCGTTCGGGCTCCTCGTGGTGTGAGTCGTTCGGGGCCCGCGTCGTGGTGTGAGTCCTTCGGGCTCCTCGTGGTGTGAGTCGTTCGGGCACCTCGTCCTGGTGTGAGTCGTTCGGGCCCCTCCTTGTGGTGTGAGTCGTTCGGGCTCTTCGTGGTGTGAGTCGTTCGGGCCCCTCGTCCTGGTGTGAGTCGTTCGGGCTCCTCGTGGGGCCTCTCGGGGGCCTCTTGGGGCCTCGTGGGGCCTCTTGGGGGCCTCTTGGGGGGCCTCTTGGGGGCGTCTTGGTGGCCTCTTGTGGCCT